CCTGCGCACCTCCACCCGAGCAGACGCCCACGTGTGCGCGTGCACGTCCGCCTGCGCACCTCCACCCGAGCTGACGCCCACGTGTGCGCGCATGCGTCCACCTGAGCGCCTCCACCCGCGCTAACCTCGCTCTCTGCCTCCGACCCCGGTGATGGGGCGACAGGATCTGTGTTTCAGTCCCCATACGACCCCTGCACCAAACGTGAAGCTTTAAGCTAGTGTTTTCATCGGATACACACGTGATATTTAATTCAAAAGGTTCTCAGCAGATTGTTAAAGAATGTGTTCATTTTACAGCACAGCGCTCATCCGTAGAAATCTGTTGCTGGAATTGTGTGCACATGTATCGCGGGCTATTAATCTCCAAAGATAAATTTCTGGTTTGTTGGGTTAAATGTGTCATTTCTTTTTCAATGTTCATATTTACTTATTTTTTTAGGAATTGATTTCTGTCCCAAGAAATAGCGCATGCAAATGTTAGCTTAGTCGTACCTTTGCTAACTACAAATGTTTCTATCTTTGCCAACCTAGTAGACCAAAAATGGCCATTTTCAATTTACAGTTCTGTGATTGATGCAAAATTGAAGATCACATGCTTTTTAGCGATTCATAATTCTTTTTTCAAGTAGCCATCGTGTTTCACACTTACATGTCTTAGGTATATTAGGGCTGATAAAATTTTATCTATCATACATAATACCTTCTTATACTTTTTGGCCTGTTTTTTTGTATTCGATTTATTGTCATAATAGTTCAAATTTTACATAATCAAACTTATTGATAATATCTTTTAGGGAGTCTAGATTTTTTAGATAAGATTTTCAAGGTACTGTACTCCAACTCCAAGATTACAGAAACATTCACCCCTAATTTCTTCCAATATTTTAATGAGGCAGATTGTTGGGGAGGTGTTGCTATTGCATGTCTGAGTGTAAACCACTCCTTTTGTTTAGCACCTCTTAGAATTTGTTTGTATCTGGTAGTGATGTGAAGATTAATTTTTTTCTTTAAAATGGTGCCTTCCTGGCCCTTGACTCGTGTTCCATTCTCCATGTATGTGACTTTGTTTTTCTAGGCTCTGTTCATTGTACTGAGTAGCCTTTTCCCTGCCAAGACAAACTGTGCTGACTTCTAGGTGCCTGATAGAATTTATGGGCTGTGCTTTTGTTCCATTACCTTATTGACATCCAAGAAATAGATTGATGCTTGCATACGATTGTTTTCAAACATAATAACCTTGGGCAACCTGTTTTGGTTTTTGGTTTGGTTTTGGGAGAGGGTTTTTTATTGTTTATTGTTTGTTTTGTTTTTTGGTGGTCTTGCAGCTGGTTTGTGGTCTATTCCTTGGAATTTAAGAAGCAAATTTTAAAAATGTGCTGTGATCCTCTAGTATCATGAAAACTGTGTCATACCTGCAGTGGTTTGTATCTGTCCATTTGTAGCCACCTGACAGGTCAACCTCTGGAACCTTCCTTGAGGGCATCCATCACACAATTTGCCTTTTTGTGTTCTCAGCTGCACCCGCCCAGAGCTGAATCGACATAGCTACCCCAGGAAATGCTGGACTAGGTTGATTCTCTTAGCTGAGCCCTCTCAGCTGTAGTTCCTCAGTTGTTGTGACATTTTTTTATTAGTAACAGAATTTTCTTACCAAAGATTAAAAACTGAAAAGAGAGCTAGGCATTGTGGCACATGCCACCACTGAGGAGGCTGAGGCAGGAGGATCACTGTGAATTTAAGGCCAGCCTCAATTACATAGCAAGACTTTGTCTCAAAAAACCAAAACAATAAAAACTAAAAAGAAACAAAGCTTTTTGCTGTTTTTCCCTGTAGATCTACAAAAATAAAAAAAAGAGGATACAGCAAAATCCACCTTCACAAATTATTCGCCATGAATGCTTGCTCTTTCTCTTTTGTGAATGGTGTCTCTCACTAGAATTCAGCTAACACAGAAGCACATGCAATAGCCCCACGTGCTAGCATCGGAGACCTATCTCAAGCTAGCGCTCTGAAACGGGCACTTCTGTCCAGTGATTCTGCTACTCTGGTCGAGGAATCTTCTCTTTTGCATGAAAGATGTCACAATATCAAGTGAAATCAAAGCTGACCTTCACAGCGCCAATCCACATTCAGAAAGATGCCACAGGGCTGGTGAGATGGCTCAGTGGTCTAAAGCACCTACTTAGAACAAGCTAAGCTTAAGCAAAGCACAGGGACTGCGGTTCAATCCCCAGCACCACATGCCAGCCAGCCCCGCCCCCTGGTGGGCTGAGCTGGCCACACACACACACACACACACACACACAAAAAAAAAAAAAAAAAAAAAAAAGAAAGAAAGATGCCACAGAGAATCCAAGTAGCTCCATACCCGCAGCCTCCCTCAGGGGCTCCTCCCGGGCCCTGCGTGGGAGCCAGGCAGGCCAGTTTCCATGACTCCCACCTAGCAGACGGGGACTGTCTGTCCTGCCCAGGTCTCTCCCGTGGGTGAGTGGAAGGCGCCCAACGGAGCAGTGAGGGGCAGGTCGTGCCGCCAAGCCAAGGAGCCCACACTCAGCAGAAGATGCCAAAGCACAACCAAAGGGAGACTGTGACAGGAAGTGCAATCAAAATGTGTCAGCAGTAGAAAAGTCAAATCACAGTGGTGTGCTTGTATGTGTTAACATATATGTTCTATTTTCAGAATTCTTCGGACTTGCCTGAAGAGGGAGATCGTAATAGAATGTGAAGTGAAAGGCAACATGCAATGCGTAAAATTATATGTGTAGATAGGCATTTGCAGGTGTGTGAGAAACTAAGAAATACAGCCAGAGGTTAATAGTGTTGGAGTTACAGGGTTTTGTCTTGGCCCTTTTCTATTTATCGTACAAATATTTTTAAATATATTCATATTCTTACTATATTCAGGAAAAAAAACGTTTTTAGGAAAGGAAACATTTCATCATCCCATTTTTTCACTTTTAAGTTTGAGTTACAACTGTAAAAAAACTAGACAACATGTTAAACAGATCTTTAGCAAAAATTTATATACCATTGCAATCTTTCTAAAATGCTGCTTTCTAAGCCTAAGTAGTGTTTCGAACTATAAATTAAACCCCAAGTAGGCCACACAAGTTACTTTTTTAATCTACCTCAAAATTCTATCTTTAATATGTTAGAATAATAATGAATAGTATGTTTGGTGCTTTTGTCACTTTTTGTCAAGCTATTTTCTCTATTTAGATTTTTAAAATTGATTTAGTTGCTACTGTTTTAAACATAACTAAATTACAACTGAAAGGGAATGTAGTGGCTAGGTTCCGTGTCCAGCTTATGGGGAAATTCAATTCGCTTCCATCCAGCTCAGTGTGAGGCCAGAACTGTGAAAGTGTGAGGCTTGTGCACTGAGGTCCCACTGCATAGAGTAGTGACAGCAACCGGAACTGAGAGGGGAAACATACATCAAAAACCTCACTAGTGAAAAATAGCAAATGCACAGGTAGAAACAAAGGAATTTATGAGTAATTCTGTTGAAGTCGAACTGTGTCCCCAAGAGGCATTTGCCACAGTTCCGCGGGCATCAGCCCTCCACACTGCAATTAGCCACAGCAAAATTTGTCCAGAAGTAGCCAAACCTATTTCATATGTTAGGACAAATATTTTAAGTGAATATTTTGCAGTGCCCAAAATTGATTCTATTTAAGCCTCCATAGCACCACCATTCCCAAAACTCTAAACAGATAATAAAATAGCCAGGCTTATCTTTTGCAACTATAAGTGTCCCTAATTTGCATCAGAGAAACAAAAGCTACCTTGCCTTGATCTCATAAAAAATTATCAGCCAACACAGCAGAACTCATTCCCTAGTACCTACACAAACAAGTGTGAGATCCACACAACTCACCAGGTTAGTGACACAGGACTTCAGACAGGTGCTTAAAATCGTACATTGTGCCACAGAAATCCAGATGCTCCCAAGGGCTGCAAAATCAACGTGTCTCATCCCTCCGCCAGTGGTGGGCTGTTAGATGGCTGGTCTCAGCTTCTCCATTTTCTCCGTGAGTTCTTCAGGCTTCTTTTGCTCGACCAAAGAGTCGCTAGTCCAGTTTTCAGTCTTGTTTGCAATGTTAACGTGTCTTTGCCTTTTGAGATGATGTTTACACCTTTTAGCTTAGAATGTTGAGTGCTTGACAGAATGAAACATTCCCATCCAGCTTTCATTACCTAGTTTCCTTTTCCTCCCATGATGGAAGTGCTGCACTGCTTTAAGGTAGAATCTCATCAGCGCATTTTGCGTGGGAAGTAAACAAAACAGCAAGTCCAAAGTGCATCTCAAAGCACGTGACCCAAGCGCAGTCGGAAGTGAAAACATCTGATTGGGTTACGCGCCCCTTGATACACCTGACGTTGCCAGCTGTGGGTTTTGACCACCTGTGCGCTACAGAACAGTGGCACTGTTGTAACAATTGTCAAAATAACCAGAAGCACCTACATCGTGGTGTAACAGAAGGACAACAGAATGCATTGAAACCAACTATATTTAAAATCGAAGAGCAAGCAAAGCTAAAATTAGTAGGTAAATCCTATGAGGTGAGCTAAAGACAAGGAAGTTCACTAGAAAGCTCTCGGCTCTTCACTACACATTAACTAAAACCTGCTTTATCGGGCCTACTGAGACAGAAACCAGCCACCACAAAGATCTAAGATATGCTGAGGGGTAGCTGCCCTGAAAAGGAAATGATGTGTAGAATTTTGATGAGCCTTGAATTGAGATAAGGTAAAGCTGGAGCCCAAAACGAAGAATTTGAAATTTGCATTATGCAGGGTGAGCCATTCTGATCAGCTGCTTTTCTAATTGCGCAGCGTTAACTCCTTAAAGCCAAGTGTTTTCACGTTAGTGCTCTTTTCAAGGACAACCTGAAGTGTCCTTCCTTGTTGTCTTAATGAATTATAGGGTATAGCAAATGCAACACAACTGCCCCTTAGTGATATGAGGTTCACATAGCACACACCTGAGGCTTTGTTTTGAACTGAACTCTTAGCATGTTGACAAAGAATGTACGACATAAGCATGCATTGGTGCTGAGCTTAACCCCTAAAGCCATTGTTTGCTAAGAAACAATGTCCCGCTGGTCACATGACCTTCATTCATATTTTTGCATTTTCAGAAATAGATTAAAAGGTATATAGCCACGTCAGAGAATCTGCCCATTGTTCTGCGACATACACTTGTGGAGAAAAGAATCAAGTGTCTTGCCTAAGAGATTTTTCTCATTCCAACAAAATTTATCTTCCTCACTGTGTCTGCAAGGTTCCTTTTGGCCTATTAGATTTAAGATAGAGCCTAAGGTATGGTGCACTTAAAGGCCTAGTTTGCTCTTGTATCTCACTTGTTCTAACTCCATTGATGGGGTGTGAAAGGTAATTACCCTTGAAATACCAAGAGTCTGTATCGTTCTAGTTGGGAATTTAACCAGCATACAAATTCTCAGTTGTACAAGATGAAGCACACTCAAGACACTTGGGGCCGAAGTGTTCATATCAGCAAGAAGTTGGAAACAATCTGAAAGTACAGCGTGATGATGCTGGACCAAAGCTACGCCCATATGCCCGCTTTGTGCGTCTTCTCCAGGTAAGCCTGTTTGACTGTGCTCTCCACACAGGCTGCCCACCAGGTGAAAGTGCTCCAGCTCTCAAAGCATAAAAACCCTGTGGCCTTGGAAATCACAATGTCACAGCTGCTCATTCTATTGATTGCCAAATAGTCACAAACATATGCCCAGATTCAAGGACAAGGAAATGAAACCTTCTACCTCTTGATATGGCAGAGCCAAGCAGGATGGGAGGGATTATTGCATGGCTTTTTAAAAATAAAATATGACACTGGAAAAGCAGTCATTGATGGGGTTCTGCCAAGGCCATCATTTCGGCCATCCAACATGGTGTTGGATCCCAAAGTGACACCGTTTCCCTTGAAGCCTAACTTCCATGTTCTTCCTCTAATCCCGGAACTAAATTTCCTGTTTCCTCTTGGGTGCAGGCCAAAGGCCCTCCCACCCTCTCCAATGCAGCACTTTGCCTGCCTATATAAACTCCACCCCGGCCCAATCATAGCCAAAGACCGGCTCCCAGCTTCCCCCTCCTAGGGCCCTTACAATCTCTGGCAACCCTCCCAGTGCCGGCAGCAAAGGCTTTCTTTTTTCACCTCTGTCAGTGTCATGCCAAACACATTTCAATCATTTATGTGGTTCTGCTATGCAGAAATTTCAGTTACCAGTTTCCCACTATCACTTGTGTAACTTTAGTTATCATATATTAACAGTGAATTATTGCATAAACTTCTCAGCTAACCTTTGAGTCCACAAATTCGAAGCAAGTAACAGATGGAATTATAGTCAAAAATCAAAGTCTATCAGTGAAGGCCCAGGGAAATAGCTCAGTAGAATAAGCACTTGCCTGGCAAGCACAGGGTCCTGAGTTCAATGCCTAGTACCACCAAAACAAAAAGTCTATCAGTGAGCCGTCACTCCCTCGCTGTTCAGCTCATGCATAGCAGCAAAGCAGCAAATTCACGTGACATTGTGTAAAATGATACTTAGAAAGATGAATAATTTACAGACAGAATTGGCAACAAATGTAAAACAAGAAATCTAGAAATAAAATTGAAATCAAATGTGGGAGGCTCAATAACTCCAGGCCTCCAATCCTACTGCAGGTGGGTTTCCGGGTTCCTCCCCTTCACCTCTGCTGAGCTAAGCTCCTAATTCTTCTTACCCCGCCTATTTCCCTTAAGTCTCCTGCTATGCCCAGGAGGTGGGACTTCCTGTCATAGCCTGGTTGCCTAGTTACTCGCGCCTTTTACCCGCTGACGTCATTTCCCTGCGCCGCCACTATATATACTTCAATTCCCCGTTCCTCTCCCAGGTGACCTTCGTTGACTGACCCGCTGGTTCAGGACAAGTGGCGCCCAACATGGGACACCTGGTACGCAGGCTTCAGCGACGGAACCACCCGAGAGAGCCAGCAAGAGAGAAAGTAGAAGAGGCCCGCGCTGGCCGCAGGTGCCTGCTGCGACGTCTGAACCTCGGTAAGCGGCCGGAACCCCCCCCCTTCCCTTCGGCAATGGGACAGGCATTAAGGGGACATGAGATATTTGTAGAAAGTTTGAGCAAAGCGTTAAAGACGCGAGGAGTAAAGGTTAAAATTAAGGATTTGTGTCAATATTTTGAATATATTAAACAAGTTTGCCCATGGTTCCCTATTGAAGGAACGATTGATCAGAGGCGATGGAAAAGGGTTGGTGATGCCCTTAAGGATTATTATGAGACTTTTGGACCTGAAAAGGTCCCAGTTACGGCCTTTTCCTACTGGAATTTAATTGATGAAATCTTATCCCAGAGACTCTGTGACCCGGTTGTTGCTAATGTGATAAAAAAAAAAAAAAAAGGGTGAAAATATACTACAGGGACAAAAAGGTAAAACCCATCTTAAAGGACAAAGAACCCCCTAAGGGTGTGTGCCCTCCTGTAAGGGAACAGAATCTTGAAATCGAAACCAGGAAGCCAGAGCCACCAAATTCCAAATTACAGCCCGAGGAGAAAATTAACCCCTTTGATTTAGAAGGAGCTACGTTCAAAGTTAAAAAAATATATCCCGAACTACCAAAACCTCTTCAAGTTGAAGCTGATTATAATGAAGTTGATCGGGACGAACTGGCGGAGGAAGCCGCTCGGTATCAGGGCTGAGACGGGCCGCCCGAGGTTCAGCGCCCTCCACCATATAGCACTGATCCTAGCGCGCCTCCTTCGGCGAGTTCGGCTTCTGACCCCAGAAAGGAATTAAAAGGCAAAATTGAACTTCTCAAAGAACAGATAAAATTAGAAAAAGAGCACCAAGACCTCATAATCCAATTAGAAAGATTAAAATCAGGAAAACCCAAAAATGAAAGTATAACCGGACCAAAGGCCCCCTGTGTTCAAAGGCCACCCATGAGGGGCACTATCCCCAAAAGCTTCCTCCTGTTTGACCCACCCATAGATCTAGATAAGGCAGAGGTATTTCTGGTATCACAAACAACAGGCACTCAAGGACAGATTTGGCGCCATTACACTGGTTTCGATTTTAAAGTACTCAAGGAACTAAAAGCGGCGGTTGCCCATTACGGAGCCACGGCTCCATAGACGACAGTCATTTTAGAAACTGGCTGGCAATTGGCTTACTCCTGAGGACTGGCAGGCATTAGCCAGAGCCACCCTCTCCAGGGGGGATTATCTCCTGTGGAATTCTTCCTGTATACAAGGAAGCTTCCATAATGATAGCTTCACTGTTGATGTTGGATTTGTTACTTTCACCAGCTGCAATCAAATATTTAACTGCAGTAGCCCTATTTGCCCAAAAAAGGGACATGTGCTTGTATGTGGGGGAAGTTTAGCCTTCACATGTGTACCTACCAACTGGACAGGACTGTGTGTCATGGCAATTGTATTGCCTAATATAGATGTCATACCTGGAGAAGAGCCTGTGCCCATTCCTAGCTTTGACTATGTCATGGGCCATACTAAAAGGGCAGTTCAGCTTATCCCTTTGTTGGTAGGACTGGGAATTACAGGAGCCCTGGGGACAGGCACAGCAGGGTTGGGAGTAGCAGTACATTCTTATACCAAATTATCTAATCAGCTGATTGATGATGTTCAAACACTGTCTGGTACTATCCAAGATATCCAAGACCAGATAGACTCATTAGCAGAAGTAGTCTTGCAAAATAGGAGGGGGCCAGCCCCACCCCCTGGTGGGCTGAGCTGGCCACACACAAAATAAATAAATAAATAAATAAAATTCAAAATAGGAGGGGCTTAGACCTTCTAACAGCAGAGCAGGGAGGGATCTGCTTGGTTTTACAGGAACGATGCTGCTTCTACGCAAACAAGTCCAGTATTCAAGATAAAATAAAGAGACTTCAAGAAGATCTTATTAAGAGGAGAAGACAGCTATTTAACAACCCTTTCTGGAGCTCATGGAATGGAGTACTACCCTACATTCTCTCCCTATTGGGACCCTTGATTGGACTATTAATACTTTTATCAATAGGACCCCTGATAACCCTCTTACTTCTGGTTTCAGTTGGCCCATACATTTTTAATAGGCTAATGGCTTTCATTCGACAGCAGTTGGATGCGGCTTTGATGAAGCCTATTCAGGTTCATTATCACAGGCTTGAGATGGCTGAAAGGGAAAACTGCGCTGGAATACAACCAGTTTATGATGATGAAGGTCCGGAGACCTCTTAGTTCTCCCACCCTTGGTGAGATGGTCAGGCTAGCCAGAGACGGGTAATGAGGGGCATACACGAGACACCACTCGCCGCCTAGGACAGGAACGGGACCTCCTGCCGTCCTGGTCTCCTATGACGGGTAAGGCTTGAGTCGGGTCCGTGTAGAGGACGCCTCGACCTAAGACAGGCACTGCCCCCTCAAGGGAATCAGC